GGCCAGTTCTATACAAAGCTCACACAAGTAGAAAATTTGTAGTATAAATATGTTCCAAATATTGCACAGAATGTATTATACTAAAATAACATTTTTATTTGCTAAATCTGCTAACTCCATGTCCTTAAAAATGATGATCATCAAACACGCTTGTTGTTGTTATTGTTTGCTTTTGAGACAGTATCTTGCTGTATAGCCCAAACTTTTCAGAAACCTGTGAAGATTTTTGGGTTTTGCCCTATTAGGATTCAGTACTAGGCAGGTACTCAACCCTCATTCAACAGGTTTTTTTTTTTTCTTTAAAAGACTCAGTTTTACTCATGTTTCTGTGTGTATCTGGGGACTGGGCGAGTATGTGCCCTTGAATGCGGGTGTCTGTAGAGTCCGGAAGGAAGAGGGCTTCCGATTACTTGAGCTGGGGTTATGGGGTCTTGGGAACTCTGCTCTTGTGGAGGGGTAGTTGTACTCTTAAGCACTGAGCCAGTTCCCCAGCCCCTTCTTTTAACTTAAAAGAGAGAAAAAAAATGGAATCAGTCTCACCAAGTTGCTGGCTTTGAAGTCCCGCTAGCCCAGACTGACCCTGACTCTTTCCTGAGTAGTTGGGATTATAGACCTAAATTAGGAGCCTCCTGTGTGAAGTGTGGTGTGTGTGTGTGTATGTACGTGTTCCTAGGAACTGAACCCAGAAATTTGAGCATTCTAGACAAGTGCTCTGCTGTTGACCTACACCCCCAGCCTGATGATAAGGAGTGGTTTCCTAACAGTTAGTTGCATTATGGAATCTCTAAACACATCAATGACATGTTTCATGCCTTGCTACATTGAAGTTCTTGGTCTAGTTTGAACTCTCATAGGATGATGCTGAATGATCATGGTCATTTGGAAAATATCGGTCCACTTGTTTGTAAAACATTGACATATGTTTTATGATACAATACACATTGAGACTTGTTACTGTCACAGCTGATCTTCCCAAAGCAGCCTGTAATTATTGACAAGCTGTCAAGCCCATGTTAGCAATGCAAGTCCCTTCCCCCATCCCTACTTTTAACTTTACTTTGACAGCTAGAATTAGAAACAGCTGTGGTCTGTGAAGTGCCAGCCTCAGTTTTCATTTGCTAGAAAGTGTCTGCCAATAGCCCAAAGCTGAAGAGCTGTATAGTTCTGGGAGGGAAGTGGCAAGTCTGTGGTGCATCTCAGTCACAGGTGATCCCCCCTGAGACGGCCGTCACCATCTGGTGCCCAAAATAAGCACTTTTCTGGGTGAGCTTCCTGGGGTTTCTGGGACCTCACTTTGAGAATTGTGGGTCTAATGACTGAAGTCTCAGTGGAAGCCCAGTCCCAGATGGCGTAGCTTCATCATGGACTCTCTCCCGTTGCAGCCTTATGTTTCTTGGATAATCTGGGAAAACACCCAAAGCCACTGCGGCCTTCTTTTGGGTGTAGATTGATGCCAGGGTGGTTGATAGGCAGGTTCCAAGGCCATATGCACCCCACTACTTGAGCCCTTTTCTGAGGTTTGAAGGGATTGGAACGATAGGGACTTCATTCTTCTATATTAAATCTCTACCCCTCCTTCTTCTCTTTGCCCCCACGTTCCAGAACTCAAAACTCCTTTCAAAAATCTGAAACCATTCTATAGGCTAAATATACACAGAGGTCACAGGTGTCCAGGGCAGAATTGGGCTACCAAAGTACGCAGGTGTTTTGGAAGTGAGCAGCATCCAGTCCAGATGGAGTATTCTGCCTTTCAGAACTCTGTAGTTCCTCTATCTCTGCTAGCTCTTCAGAGGTAGAGGAAAGAGGGTCTCTGAAATGTCAAGGCCAGCCTGGTCTACACATCAAGGCCATGTCTCAAAAATACAAAACAAAACGAACCCAAGGGACCCCTGGCATACTGGTGCCTACAAAGCAAAACCCTGACCTGGAAGTCTTAGGAATAGAGGTTTGGAATGGGGAGATAGGAAGTGTGAGGCTAGCTAGAGATGCGAAGTGGGACCCTACCTCAACAAATCAAAGCAAAAAGCCTTAAATCCCAGCGCTGCGTAGGCAGCGGCAACTGGGTCTTTGTGAGTTCAAGGCCAGCCTACAGGGCTACAGAGACAGTTCCAAAGCTACACAGAGAAACCCTGCCTTGAAAAAGAAGAAAGGGGAGGAAAAAGAAAAAGAAAAAGAAAAAAAACCCAACCAACCCCCACCCCTGAAAAACAAGAAAACATGTACTATGTGGAAGACATTGACCTCTCTCAGGGACACAAGTCAATCTGTGACCAGCATGACACAGCATATTTAAATCATAGCATGCCAAGTGCTAGGCAGATCTCTCCAAAGCCAGCCGGCAGGGTTTAAACATCAAATTTGTAAATGCAAGGAACAAGAAAAAAAAAACACAACAGAAGAAGGGTTTTGGTTGGATTTTTTGGTCAAACGTAGGCCCTTCTCATCATGGGTGAGATCTTATGATGAGTAGGAAAGGTGTCAGGGGTGGGGACAGGCAAGAGAAAGGGACGAAGAGCAGGGCCCGATGGGTTCTGAATATAGAGAGGAGGTAGACCTCCATGCAGCAGTCGGCGGGCTGCTAGCAGGGCGGCTGGAGTGTACACCGAGTGTGAGTGGGACTCGGGCCAGAGCAAGGACACAAACTGAGCCTGGCCGTTCTCAGCTCTGCCATCAGCACAGTGGTGTGGCCCACGCTGCCACTCTGCCTGTCCTCCCAAAAGTCACATAGCCAAGTGCCTGGAACTGTCGACAGTTAATAGACAATGCTTAGTGAGATCCTGTGGCCGAATGAGGGAGCAATACTATGTCTTTTTTAATTAACATGTTGATTATTGTTGTGCTTGTTTTTGTTGATTGACTAACTGTATGGGCATGTGTGTGTGCACGAGGGCATGCACGCCACAGAACACGTGGAGATGTGGAGATTAGAGAGCAACTTGGGAGTCGGCTCTCTTTTGGGACTAAACACTGGTTGGGTTATGGTAGCAAGCACCTTTGCCTCCTGAGCCATCTGTCTAGCCTAAGACTATGTCCTTAAAAAATAACTTTTAGAGACTGGGAAAAATTGGCTCAGTGTTTTAAGAGTGCTTGCTTTCCCAGAGAACCCGGATTTGATACCCAGCACCCACATGATCGCTCACAGCCATCTGTAATACAGCCCTGTGGGATCTAATGCACCCTCTCTGGCCATGTTAGGTACACACACACACACACACACACACACACACACACACACACACACACACACACAGTGTACTTAACACATAGCAGGGGAAACATCCATAAAATGAGGCTTGGTTTTAGTTTTCCTTTCTTTAAGACTGAGTCCTGTTATATAGCTCAGTCTCATTTCACTCCTAGCAATCCTTCTGCTTCAGCTTTTTGAGTGCTGGCATTCCAGACATAACCCACTATACCTCACTTCGGATGTGTGCTTTTTGGTTTTTGAGACGAGGTCTCAAAGCCAGGCTAGACTTAGATTGGCAATGATCCTCCTACCTCAGCCTACTGTGCCTGGCTCGATGCTTGGTTTTGATGGCTGTTTCATTTGCTATAATTCCTTCCCAGTTTACTTTTGGCATGCATATATTTATAAGACAATATATGAAAAGAAATTACATTCTTCTTACCAAGTGTGGCCTTTTCTTTTCTTTTTTTTGGGGTGGCGGGGTTCCAGGTAGAGTTTTTCTGTGGCTTTGGAGGCTGTACTGGAGCTAGCTCTTGTAGACCAGGCTGGTCTCAAACTCACAGAGTTTGCCTGCCTCTGCCTCCCGAGTGCTGGGATTCAAGGCATATGCCATCACCACCTGTCAAACTTGGTTTTTTGTTTTGCTTTGGTTTGGTTTTTGGTTTTCACTTGTTTGTTTTTGGCTTTTCAAGACAGTTTCTATTGTAGCCGTGACTATCTTAGAACTGGCTCTATAAAGCAGGCTGGCCTTGAACTCAGAGATCCATCTGCTCTGCCTCCTAAGCGATGGGACTGCTTTTTTTTTTTTAAACAAACAAGCACGTTATTAATTGCTTTTGTTTGTTTTTTGTTTGCTTTGTTTTTCAAGACAGGGTTTCTCTGTATTGTATTTTGGAGGCTGTCCTGGAACTTGCTCTATAGACCAGGCTGGCCTTGAACTCACAGAGACCCGCCTGCCTCTGCCTCCCGAGTGCTGGGATTAAAGGCATGCGCCACCACCGCCCGGCCTGTGGCTTTTTCTTAGACTGGAATTTAACCAACAAAGTATTCCTTTGTCGTTAGCCGTTTCCACGTTTTACTCCTCAGAATCCAAGTATAGTGAGGCACAGTCATGGCGCAGGGGGAGCCTGATCAGAGGATTGGTGAGAGATGGAGTTAGTCTGGCTTGGCTATTTAACTGAAATCTAGGCTAGTGTGGGCTCCAGACTGAGACCCTACATAGAAAACAAAAGTATATTCCCACACAGTCAAACCCAGAACAGGCTCCAGTCAGGGCTGCAGGAGCATGCGTTCCTCTGGAATCCATGAACACCAGACTGGAAAGGGCTACCTTATGTAGGAAAGACACTGTGAGGTTTGGCCCTTTATCGATTTGGTTTCATGGGGATGCCTGAAGAATGTCCAGGAGAAGGCTCTTATAGGTCACGAGAAACAGGGAAACTGAGGCTGAGAGCCCAGAGCGAGAACAGAAAGATGAAAACACCCATCAGAGAGAGAACAGAGAGATGAAAACACCCGCCAGGCAGAAACAAAACAAAACGCCACAGCTGGAGGCTGAGGCAGAAAGATCACCGGTTCCAGGCCTCCCTGAGCTGGAGAATCAGTGTTCCCCAACACAGCACAGCCTGCTTAGGGTGCTGAGGTAGGAAAGGGGGTGGGGAGCGGTTGTGAGCGCTGATTAGCTAATTGTGTTAGAGGGCAGCGTGCACACTACTGTTGTGAAAGCTAGAGAAGACTGCCCTGGGCTGGCCAGCCCTGTTGCCACACCCCTGAGCAGGCTGATAAAGGGTCATTTGTGAAACCCACCCAGAACAGATTAGTCATTCCAACCCCAGAGAAGGAAGCTTACAGCTAAACTGAAGCCTCTGTGACCAGCAGTGGGAAATAAGATGGGGTTCTTGAACATGGGGTGTGAGGGGACAGTTGCCACAGTCCTTCCAACCCTGTTTGGGAGCTCCTAGGTGGAGAACTGTCAGTTCTTTGAGCTACCTTCCTTGGCTCTAGAAGGTTGTTTGTTTGATAGTTATCAAAAACAGTCTCGGGAAGGCGGAGATAGTAGCCCAAGGTCACACAGCCAGAGTATAGAAAAGCCGGCCTTCCAGTCAGTTTTCCATACCTCAGTGCAAGGCACCGAATTCTGAGTACTCGTGGAGACTGGTGTGGGGGTGGGGATTAAAAAAAAAAAAACGTTTTTCTTTTCTATTTGCCTAACCTGTCTGCCAAAGCAAACTTGCTCCTCTAGGCGGATTTGCTCTCCTTTTAGGCTTGTAGGTAGCGAAATAGTCATCCCTTCTCACTGTTCAACTCAGAGCGCCGAGAGCAGGTAGGTGTGTGTGTGTGTCGCCCACATGGACTCAGGACAGAGTCTGGACCAGGCTGCCCCAGGAGCTCGCAGTTCCTTCTCTCCCTGGTTAACCCAGGTTCTGGGAGGCATTGGACAAGCTGTGGGTGCTGGTCGCTCAGTGCCAGTTTCTGCTGTCCTTCCCTCTAATTGTTAACCAGAATGGAATGCCAAACTTCTGGTTCAGGGCAAAGTTGCTGTTTAACTGACTGACTTCTGGGCTATGGAAAATGGGGAGCGAGTTTGTTATTGAGGGAGATGCTTGTTCCAGGTGCCTTCCCCCAGTAAGTACCAATGCTGCCCCACACATGAACGCAGTGGTTGCTCCTGCGTCTGCACGTGTGCCCGGAAACTCTACCCTCTGTGTCCCCTTTATTAACTCTTAATTTAGGCACCTTTTCAGTTTGACAAGCCAAGACTTGCTGGGGGATTAGAACGAGGTGATCATAATGCCACCTTCAAAACACAGAAAAAAAAAAAAACCTCTGAGGTCCCTAGTGTCAAGTTCTATTTCTGGAAGCTTTGTCTGCTAACTCCTCCAACTTCACATTTGGGTTTATTTCCCCTTCTGAGAGGGAAGTGTGGAAACTTGCCTGTTCATTGACATTATTGTACATCGCAAGATATCTTTGCTACCATTATATTGTGTTCTCTCAATGGTGTTTGCTCTGAGGGTGGGACGAAAGGCTGTTTAGTGTCTCGTAAAACATTTACCAAAGCACTGAGCCATGGTTTTGAAGGGCATTCCGTTGCCAGAGCGTGGGAGGCGAGGGCGAGCAGGGAAAGAGAGCGCCAGGTGTTTGGCAGGTACTGGTTTCATACTTTGGTATTTATTAATATTTAAAACCATGAATTGGGTTGGCCTCAGCCCCCTTCTTCTGTGGGGATGGTGAGTGGGGAAATACGTGGGGTGGGCAGGAGGAAAGAATTTCTTGGTAAATTCTAGTTTGCTGGTGACTGGGAGTCCCTGCAAACTCGTAACCCTCTGCTGTTTTCCATTTTACTGGAGGGTTGAGCCTGTCCTGGGGAGAGGGTTGAGAGCTCCTGGTGCCCTGAGCCTTGGTGTGGGCTTCAGCCAGGCCCGGGGACTCTGGGAGGCCAACCAAGTGTCACCTTGTGCCTTGTGTCTGGTGACTCATCCTATTGAAAGCTTTTGTAAATGGCGGCTCTGATTTCATGAAAATACTTGAAAATTTTCTTCTCCCCACCCCGTCCCTCTTGTGTTAAATTTAGACAAGATAAGTACAAACTAAAGGCCAATGTGGAGACAGGCTTTATCTTCAGATCTAGACTTGTAGGCTCAGCAAGTTCAGAGTCTCTTTATATTGCTGGCAATGGACTTGGGAGACTCCTGGGTTAATACGCCTTGGGAATACGTAATCTTTATACTGTAAAAATTTGGGGGGGGGTAGAGAATTTGAGTTCGTGTGATCAAGAGGGACACGAACTGTATACTTTTGATTGATTGTCATTGCGATTATGGTGGACACCGATACTTACAGTTGTGGCTAAAATCCAAACAGGAAATAGGAAATCTTGAAAAATACAGCTCCAAAAAAGCAGGTGCCAACTCTTGGGGAGCAGTGTCCCAGTATAATATACGAAGTACAGTCGGCATATGGGGCCTTCGCGGTAGCAGACGGAAGTGTGAGGTTGGTATTAATGGCTGAGAATTCCATCGGTTCTGCTGGAAGGTGATCTGAGTCGGCTTTTTTTCATACTTGGCAGGATGAAACCAGGGGCCTTTGAACAGTTTCTGGTCACGGTAAAGAAGCTGGGAGAGTTGCCTGCTCCCTCTGCGAAAGCTTCCGGGTTAGCTCTGTGCGTCTGGGCAGGTAGAACTCCACCTAAAACCTGTGGAGGTCAGAAGACACAGTTCCAGGGAGAGACGGCACATGGTTAGCTCTGGAGCCCAGTAGCCAGTCATTAAACTGCTTTGACCACGGAGAAGTTATGTAACTTTCAAAAAGTGGATTAACCTTTTCTATCCCCTTAAGATTTCAAAACTAGCTGGGTGTGGTGGCGCATGCCTTTGATATCAGCAGAGGCAGGTGATCTCTAAGTTCAAGGCCAGCCTGGAGAAACCCTTTCTCAGACCCCCCCCCCCACAGGGATGGGGGGGTGGCCCACGCCTTTATTCCTAGCACTTGGGAGGCAGAGACAGGTGGATCTCTGAGTTTGAGGTCAGCCTGGTCTACAGAGCGAGTTCCAGGAAAGCTAGGGAAAACAAAACAAAACAAAAAAAGAAAAAATGTTTTTCAAGGCATGTATGAAAACTGTCACATAGGTGCGTGCAGTCTGCACAGCATGTGCAGCTAGACCATCTGAGGCACCGATAAACCCGAAGTGGACACTTTGGCCAGTGGAGGGGTCTGTGTACTCATCAGACGCTCTGAAGGAGGTTAATGTTGGTCAAGTCTGGGAAGTGATGGGGAGGATGGGGCAGGGTGGGGCGGGGTGGGGGGGGGCAGGACAGAAGAGCTCTGGGAAAGGGCCTGAACACCAGCTGGGTCTTGCTTTTGCCTGTGTCACCAGGGAAGTTCCTTTCAGTTTTTCTAGATGTGTGGCAGTAAGATCACCAGAGGTTGGTCACCAGTGGTTATTTCACACCCCACTGGGGGTCTTACAGTTTCATTGATGTGCTGAGTGACAAATTTTGCTGTTACTAAATGGGGTGATGGTGTTTTCTGTCAAGCTGGCCATGAATACCTGCCCTTTCTACATAAGGTTGGTAGTACTCATTTTTTCTCACCAGCTGAGTCTCAGTAGCTGGGGCTGACCTTGAACTCCTGCACCAGCCTCTGGATTGCTAGAATTGTAGGTGTCTGCCACCATGCATGTCTTCTTCCATGATGTGTTCTCACTGTATGTAGCCGTGGTTGGCCTGGGGTTTACTATGTAGTTTAGGCTGGCCTGGACCTCAGGAGACCCACCTACCTCTGCCTCCTAAATGATGGTTTTAAAGGTGTAGGAAACCACACCCAGATTTTTTTTTTTTTAGAGATGTGGTGTCACACTAAGTGCCAGCTGGCCTACAGATTACTGTGTAGTGCAGGCTCACTTCCAACTTCATCAAGCTGCCTACCTTTGACTCCCAAGTATTTGGGATTACAAAAATGAGTAATCAGCCACTTTTCTACCGTATTTAATCTCACCCTATGAGATGGACCCCATACCGCACACTAAAGTGGCTAAGACCCGAAAACTAGATAGGTCCCGAGCACTAGGGGAAAACCTGCCATTGTTCTACTAAAGTAACATGGCTATGAAATGACTTAATGACTTGTTCCTATACCCATAGATCAGTGCATTTGCTCATCCCCATCACTTAATGTTTTCTCATAGTTAGCTTTCAATAACATTTCTGGTTGTCAGTAATACATCTGTTCCAGGCTCACCCACCCACCCATTCACCTCCCCCTCCCCCACCCATTCATCCCCCTCCCAATCCCCACCCATTCCCATCCATCCATTCATCCATCCATTCACCCACCCATCCATCCACCCACACATCTACCTATCCACCCCCCCACTCACCCATCCACCCACCCATCCCCCACCCACCCATCCATTCATCCATCCATTCACCCACCCACCCATCTATCCTTTAACTGTTTATTAAAGGTCCGTTCTAGGATGTTTTCTCATCTCTCAGTTCTTTTGTTTAGTTTTGAGGCAGGGTTTCACTGTGTACACAGACTGGCTTTGAACTAGTGGCGGTCTTCGTTAGTCCCCCAAATTCTGAGACTACAGGTGTTCGCCCCTTGCCTGGTTTCAGTTCTTAAGTATTACTCCTAGGAGTTTCTCATCTCACCCCTCTCACCATCATCTACCACCATAGTTTCGCTTTGGCTGTATTTTGCAGTCTATGATCTTGTGTCTGTGTCCACTCACTTGGCCTTCTAGCTGTGATCGTCACCCATGCAGTTACATGCAGCTCTAATTTATTCTCTCATTTGCTACCTAGTGTAGCTCTGGAGGGACAGACCCCGATTTTAAATTATTTCAGGAGTTCAAAGAAAACATGAGTGTGTGAGCTGAAAGCCATCCCTGTGTGCCAGCTCTTCAAAGTCAGGTGACCTCATAAAGGGTGGGATGGAAATGTTATCTCCTGAAAGGGCAGAAGGAGAGCCTGTTTCAGGGAGTGTGTTTGCTAAGTGCTCTGCACGGGCCATTTATTTAACCGAAGCAGTCCCCCCAGGAGCAACTGCCGCCGTTTTATATGAGGAGCCCAGCCTGAGATACTGCGTGAGTTTACAGTGGAGCCCAATTCAATGTGAAAATTAATTGTCCTCCACACTAGAAAGCAACCCTGTCCTGGAAAAGACCATTGGGGCCCTGCTACCGCAATGACTCCCCCACCCAATTCAGTGCTCGGGGTTGAATCCAGGGCTCCTTTCCTGCTTGGCGAGGAGCTATGCCCCAGCCCAACTCAACCTTTTACGTGGTAGCACGGGATATGCAGGCCCTCTGCTGGAAAGCCAGCCCCTGGTTTTCCTCTGTCTCTTTGTAAGTCATGTGTTTTGAAGATGAGATTTTTCTGGGTTCTAACTTGTTTGTTTTGCTTATGAATTTTTCTGTGAGATTTTTTTAAAACTGCATTTATTGTGGGGTGGGGGCACAGGCACATGCCACAGCACATGTGTGGAGGTCAAAGGGCAACGTGATAGTTGAGTCCTTCCACCACATGGGTCCAGGGAATCGATGTCAGGCCATCAGGCTTAGCTGCAAGTACCTTCATGTGCTGAGTCATCTCACCAGCTTAGGACTTTCTCATATGCACTCTATATATTCTGAACCCCGTATTCAGCAGCCTTAATGTCCCCCCACCCCCAGATTAAGTTTTGCTTTGCATGGATAAAGAGTAACCATCATAAGAAAGTTAAGGGAATTAAGTCCAGGTTGCAGATAACTTTCCTGGGAGTCAAAGGTCCCATGTTTTAAAGGAACCCAGAGGAAGGGTTTACAATACTAGCTCACAAAGGCTCTGCTTGCTGGGCTCAGTCTCAGGGAACATCTCAGTGAGACATATGCGTTCTAGGAAAGAAGTCCCAGACTTGCCCAGGGGTTCTTTTGTTTACAATAACAAAAGATGACATGCTCCTCCACGGTATTGTTTTTTCCTAGCTCGGATGATAAGGGTTATGTTGTGAACGGTTCATTAATCTAGTTTATGTGATGGGGTGGTCTTTCGGTGCGGCCCTGACAATGCCTTCGTTGAATATTTCAAGTGACTTCTAGAAAGGGCAAGGGCACCCACATCCCCTGCAACAGAAAGAAAGCCTTTCATGGGCACTACTTAAAAAAATAATCATCAACTTGCCTTGAATAAATCTTCTTTAACTTTATGAACAACCACAGGAATAACATCTTGTAGTTGTACAGTTTTTTTTTTTTTAAATCACTTTCTCAGCCTGGAGAGATGGCTTAGTGTTTCTTTTAAAGGGTCCAAGTTCAGTTCTCAGCATTTTCATCAAGGGGCTCCCGGCAGCCTGTAACTCCAGCTCCAGGAGACCCACCACCCTCTTCTGGCCTCCAGGCAACTTCACTCATACACAGATACCCCACACACAGATACACGTGTAAACCCAAGTTTTAAAAATCACTTTCTCAAATAATTTCCACATTTACCTTTTGTTTTTATTCCTGCAATATGAAACACATCCATCTTTAGCCTGAGAAAGCTGAAATACAGATGCCCAGATCATGTTTCTGACCAGGAATAAGGCTGACATGCAGACTTTCTATCTCCACGGAGCCCAGCTCTTGTCAATGCCCCCCCCCTTCCACCCACACAGTGTGTGGTGAACTGTGTCAACATTACCATGAGTCTACAGTAGCCTCTCCCAGATCACACAACTCATTGTGTGCTTACCATGTATGAGACTGCACTAAATAGTTTATGTGTCTCATTCCCAATACCCACACATCTCTGCTAGGTAGAGATCATTCACCTCTTCTCACCCCAGGGGAATCCAAGGCACTGTGCAGTCAGGTGATTTCCACAAAGCCGTGTGGTTGGTTCCCTGCCTTCCCCACAAGTGCGCTCATGCTCACCATGGCACCTGCTTCGGGTCTGACAGCAGCATCTTTCATTATCTTCATCATTACAACTGAGGTCAGTGCAGGAGGCCTGATACACTTTTCTTTCCTCATGCCTTACCTTGTCCACCCCACACACGCCTGATGAAGAGACGTGGTGCTGGGTTGGGTTCAGTTTTAAAATTAACCTTTAACTTGCAGGGTTATAAGAAAACCAGGGTCAGTGGCTATGAGACCAGAGGGCCTGCTCATCAACTGGATTGGTTTTTGAGGGGAGCCTGGAAAAGACAGCTCCTTGGGCAGGAAATTGGTCAGATGGTGTGTGTGTGTGTGTCTGTGTGTGTGTCTGTGTGTGTGTGTGTGTGTGTGTGTGTGTGTCTGTGTACCCAGAGGTTGTGGTGGTGAAGACATGACAAGAGACAGGTATGGTGGCAAAAGCAGGAAACTGCCTGCTCACATTTCATCCTCACACAGGAAGCAGAGAGAGAGGGAACAGGAAGTGGAGCCAGGCTGAAAACCTCAAACCCAGGCTGAGGAAATGGCTCAGTGGTTAAGAGCACTTGCTGCTCTTGCAGAGGACTTTGTGCCGTATGATGGCTCGCAAGTGCCTTTAACTATAGTTCCAGGGCATCCAACACCCTCCTGGCCTCCACAAATAAATACCAGGTATCCTTATGGAACACATATTCAGGGAAAACAGTTCTTTCTGGCAGACGGGACACAACAGCCCTCAGAGTCCACCCCCTAGTGACATACTTCCTCTTTAGAGTTTCACATTGAGACAGGGCCACCAACCAGGAACTGAATGTTCAACTACATGAGACTATAGGTGACATTTCTAATTCAAACCACACAGAGTTTCTCACTGGGGCCTGCGCGAGTCTTGCTGAAAACGCTAAACTAGTAGACCTCCTGTCTCTACTCCAGCACTAGGACTACAAATACGTTCTTTTAGCATGGGTTCTGGAGGAGCCTTGTCCTCATGCACAGTCAGCATCATTTTACTGAGCTGTCTGCCTGTGCCTCATTTTGTTACGATTTATTTTTATTTTATATGCATGAGTGTTTGGCCTGCATGAATGTCTGTGCACCATGGGTATTCTTGGTTCGGGAGGAGGCCCGAGGAAGTCATCAGATTCTCTGGAACTGGAGCTGCAATGTGGGTGCTGGAAATAGAGCTCTGTGAGAGCCCTCTGAGAGCAGCACCCAACCAACCTCTTAATTGTTGAGCCATCTCCAGCCCCCTGGGTTTGATATTGTGAGACAAGTTCTTGCTATGTAGTTCTGCTGGCCTGGTACCTGCTTTGCACTTGAGGCGTGCCTTGAACTTGCAGCAGTCCTTCTGCCTCCCGAAAGCTGGGGTTACAGGTGTACACCACCATACCGGGCCCTCAAGAGCTCTTTTACTCTGTGTTCTTGTGAAGGAAATGGCAGGGGCACATCCAAATTGTTTCTCGTTCATCTCTGTGAGTCCCGTTTGGGATAACTGGGTGGGTTTGTGGGGCATTGCTGAGGCAGTGTTTGGTGTGTCATAGTCTGGCACCCTGTTGGAGTCCAGTGACTTTTGCTGGCCTTCCTTTCCAACAGGATTCCTAGAAGGAAGTTTTAGGAGACTGGCTTGGCCTGTGTGACTCCCCCATTAATGATTATGAAACCCTAACATTTAAATTAACCACTGTTAAATGCACGCCTCGCCCATGTCAGCTGCTCATGCAAACTCTGGGAAGAAACCAAACAAAGATTTCATTCTGCTTTTCCAGCAATGACTTTTTACTGTAAGAACATAGGAAACACCTGCCTACCCGCACTTCAGTTGTTCAAGGCAGAACCTCACTCGCCCTACAACTCAGGAACTCATGTAGCCCAGGGTGTCTTCAAACTCTAAAGTGATCCTCCTGCCTTAGCTCCCCAAGTGCTGGGGTTAGAGAGATGGTTATCTTTTATTACCTTGTGTAGCCCTTTATGTAAATGGCAGACAGAAGGACACCCACCCTTGACTAGAGTTTCACTTGTATGATTTTTGTGCTACATAAGAATTTGAACAAAGAAATAGCCAGGGAGTGGCTTCTGTTCGCGGCCAGTGATTTAGAGAAACTTCTCTCCATTCTTGCCTGCCCTCTTAGCTGGTGTGTGGCTTAAGCTTCTTGGGAACACTCTATTATCTGTACCTCAGGAAGAAAATAAAGAGATGTGTTTTGTTTTCGTTGTAGGAAATAGTGATTTGGAGAGTCTGTTTTTAATGAAGAAATTAAATATCCGGAGTGCAGGATTACAAATAGTAGTGGAATATCTTTTCCTCAGCACCCCATTAGACGGGGGTCTCACTATGTAGACCAGGCTAGCCTTGAACTCACAGAGATCCACCAGCCTCTTCCTGGATACTGGAATTAAAGGCATGTGCCACCATATCTGGCAGTCCAGTATCCTTTAAAAATAGAGCCCTAGCCAGGCTTGGTGCTCATGCCTGTAATCCCAGCATTTAGGAGGCTGAAGCATAATAGGATTAGTTTCTATAATATTGAGGCCAGCCTTCAGGTAAAAACAAACAAACAAACAAACAAACAAAAACAAGGAAGAAAGAGGAAGGAGGAGGGGGATGGGAAGGAATTGTTATTTTATTCTGAAACGCAAAGATATAAAGAATGTATAGAGAGCGATTTCCATTTTCACACTTTCCATTTAGAAATAAGCACTCCTGCTCATCCCTAAGTAGTCTGGGGCGAAGAAGTTGCTATTGATGTACAATGTACACATGACTATTTCTGAGTCACATGCAAATTTTCAGCAATGGGACTAGAGAGATAGAGCAGTGGTAAAGAACACTGATTGCTCTTGCAGAGGACCCAGGTTCGATTCCCACCACCCACATGGTGGCTCACAGCTCTCTGTTTCCCGGCATCTGTGGGTAATAGGCACACATGTGATATGCATACATACATGCAGACATTCACACATGCACATAAAATAATAAATCAATTTTTAAAAATTGGGATGAAAA